AAAAAAGCGGGGGGGTTGGGGGGGGCGCAGCCCCCCCCCCCATTTGCAATGCTCACACGACGTTTTTCAACTAATTTCTTGGGCTGCCCTTGGGCCTTGAAGCACGCTTGGTACGGCGTAAAGAAGCGGGGGGGGTTGGGGGGGGGGGTGGGTGGCTTAAATAGGGTCTATTTGGAAGCTGGGACTCGGGTTTTCTTATAGCCATACACGTTTCCACGAGGGTACGCTGCTGTCACGTCAGTCGTACTATGGAGGCCTCAGGAACAAGAACCAGGTAGTTCCTCTTTTCTCTTCTCTTTTTCTCCTCAATCCTAAAGTCGAAGGCTCTCGTGAGGAGAAGAGAAGGGAGAGAAGGAGGGAAAGATAAGAGGAACACGATTTTCATGGGAAGAGCCAAGAAAAGAATAGAAGAGAGATAAAACAAGGCGCAAAGAAGATGGTACTCTTCTTTATCTATCCTCTCTCCCTTATCTCTCCGTTCCCTCTGTCTTTACGAAATGAGAAAAACAAAAAGAAAGATGAAAAGAAGAAGGGTTAGGAAAAGAGCCGAAGAGATAGGCCGAAAAGAGGGGTATGGTGAAGTACGGCAAAGGTCCACGCACAAGGAGTCACCTTCTGCTTACCCTTCCACTGCTTGATTTTACAAGCTCCTTTCTTGTGTTTTATCAGTTAAAATTAAAAGGAAACAGAAGGAGAGAAGGGAAAGGGAAGTGAGAGAGGAGAGACAACAAGGAGGCCATTTTAATTTCCTGTGAGTTATCAAAAGGAATGCAATATTATGGGAAGAGCAATGGAAAAAAAGAGTGGAAGAGAAATTAAGACAGGAGAGGGAGGTGCAAAAATAAGGCAAAGAGAAGATGGTGCCGTTTTCATCTCACCTCTCGTTCTTATCTTCCTCTTCTCTGGTTCTTTTCCCTGTGAAATAAAAAAAACAAAAGGAAGGACAATGAACATATAAAGGAACCCGTTTTCGTTTTCCGTTTGGGCACAAGGAAAAAAAACAGAGGCGATAGGGCGAGAGGAGGGGTTTGCTGAAGCATGGGGAGGGTGTACGGGCAAGGGGCCAACTCCGCCCACTTCCCCCATCCATTGAAAGAGGAAAAGGAACAGGGCCTCCATTCCCCTCTTAGAAGGGAACAGGAGAAGAGGAGGGAGAGAGAAGGAGAGAGGAGACATAAAAAGGGTTGCATTTTTAATGGGAAGAGCAAAGAAAAGACCAGAAGAGAGATGATGGGAGAAGAGGGGGAGACAAAACAATGCGCACAGAAAATGGGCAGATAAGAAGAGAGGAAAGGGAATGACCAGGTACAATGAGGAGTTCTTCAATTTCCCTCCCTATCTCTTATGTTACTTTTCCTTCTTGTGGGGTGTCCCTTTTTCTCTTGAAGATGCAGAAAACGATTGAAAAGGACACCCGTTCCATCGCCCATATGTAGGGAAAGAGAGAGAATCATGAGCATCAGCTGGGCTTGCTGCCAATCCAACATGGGCGTCCCTTTTAATCGCATTCTGTGTCCTTTTTTCTCGCTTGAAGATGCAGAAAACGATCCAAAAGCACATCTGTTGGAGGAAGAGAGAAGGAGAGAGGAGAGATACCAAGGATTGCATATTTAATGGGAAGAGCAAGGAAGAGAATAGAAGACAGATGAATAGAGAAGATGGCGCTCTTCTTTATCTATTCTCTCTCCCTTGTTTCTCCCTTCCCTCTTTCTTTTCGAAATGAGAAAAACAAAAAGGAAGAACTATGAGAAGGAGAAGAGTAAGGAAAGGAACAGAAGAGATAGGCCGAGAGGATGAATATGATGGAGTATTATGGAAAGGCTCACGCGCAAGGAGTCACCCTCTGCTTACCTTTTCACTGCTTTATCATATGAGTTCCTTTCTTGTGTTTTATCAGTTAAAAGGAAGCGGAAGAAGAGAAGGGAAAGGGAAGTGAGAGAGGAAAGATAACAAGGATGCTATGTTTCCCGAAGCGTGCTGCAAGGAATAGAAGAGACAGGAAGCAAGGAGACGGAATCACAAAATAAGGCGCAAAGCTGTACATATCATCTCTCCCTTGTCTCTCCCTATTCCCTTTCGAACTAGAAAAAACCATTCTTGCTTTTCACAGATGGGTTCCCTCTCTCCTCTTCAGGAAATCCCCTTTCCCTTATGTTGTTTTTTGAAGCGAATAAGAAAAATAGCAGATAAGAAGAGAGGAAAGGGTCAATTTCCCTCCCTATCTCTTATGTTGCTTTTCCTTCTTGTGGGGTGTCCCTGTTTCTCTTGAAGATGCAGAAAACGATTGAAAAGGACACCCGTTCCATCGCCCATGTATAGGGAAAGAGAGAGAATCATGAGCATCAGCTGGGCTTGCTGCCAATCCAACATGGGCGTCCCTTTTAATCGCAGTCTGTGTCCTTTTTTCTCGCTTGAAGATGCAGAAAACGATCCAAAAGCACATCTGTTGGAGGAAGAGAGAAGGAAAGAGGAGAGATACCAAGGATTGCATATTTAATGGGAAGAGCAAGGAAGAGAATAGAAGACAGATGAAGAGAGAAGAGGGAGAGACAAAACAAGGCGCAGAGAAGATGGCACTCTTCTTTATCTATTCTCTCTCCCTTGTTTCTCCCTTCCCTCTTTCTTTTCGAAATGAGAAAAAAAAAAAGGAAGAACTATGAGAAGGAGAAGAGTAAGGAAAGGAACAGAAGAGATAGGCCGAGAGGATGAATATGATGGAGTATTATGGAAAGGCTCACGCGCAAGGAGTCACCCTCTGCTTACCTTTTCACTGCTTTATCATATGAGTTCCTTTCTTGTGTTTTCTCAGTTAAAAGGAAGCGGAAGAAGAGAAGGGAAAGGGAAGTGAGAGAGGAAAGATAACAAGGATGCTATGTTTCCCGAAGCGTGCTGCAAGGAATAGAAGAGACAGGAAGCAAGGAGACGGAATCACAAAATAAGGCGCAAAGCTGTACATATCATCTCTCCCTTGTCTCTCCCTATTCCCTTTCGAACTAGAAAAAACCATTCTTGCTTTTCACAGATAGGTTCCCTCTCTCCTCTTCAGGAAATCCCCTTTCCCTTATGTTGCTTGTTGAAGCGAATAAGAAAAATAGCAGATAAGAAGAGAGGAAAGGGTCAATTTCCCTCCCTGTCTCTTATGTTGCTTTTCCTTCTTGTGGGGTGTCCCTGTTTCTCTTGAAGATGCAGAAAACGATTGAAAAGGACACCCGTTCCATCGCCCATGTGTAGGGAAAAGGGAAAAGCACAAATTGAGCCCAACATTTTAGGACCAGGGCTTGCGATCTGACTCTTTGGAGCAAAAATCGATTCCAAAATCTTAGGGACCAGGGCTTGCGATGTTACTCTTTGGAGCAAGAAATGAGCCCAAAATCTTAAAAACCGGGGCTTGCGATTTCACCTTTTGGAGCAAATACTGGGCCCAAAATCTTGGGGACCAGGGCTTGCAATTTGACTCCGTGGAGCACAAATCGACCCCGAAATCTTAGGGACCAGGGCTTGCGATTTGACTCTGTGGAGCACAAATCGACCCCGACAACTTAGGGACCAGGGCTTGCGATTTGACTCTTTGGAGCAAAAATCGACCTTCTCTCTCGCCCCAAAAAATCCCTCCTAAGGGCCTGGCTTGCTATTTTACTCTTTGGAGCACAAACCACTGGGCCCCAAATCTTAGGGCCCAGGGCTTGCGAGGTCACTCTTTGGAGCAAATGAACCAATAGGTATTAGGGACAGGGCGTGCGCTTTGACTCTTTGGAGCAAAAACTGGGCCCAAAATCTTAGGGAGCAGGGTTTGCGATTTGACTCTTTGGAGCAAAAACTGGGCCCCAAATCTTAGGGACCGGGGCTTGCGGTTTGACTCTTTGGAGCAAAAATTGAGCCCAAAATCTTAGGGACCAGGGCTTGCGATTTGACTCTTTGAACCAAAAACTGGGCCCAAAATCTTAGGGACAAGGGCTTGCGATGTCACTCTTTGGAGCAAAAAATAAACCCAAAATCTTAGGGACCAGGGCTTGCGATTTGACTCTTTGGAGCAAAAACTGTGCCCCAAATCTTAGGGACCAGGGCTTGCGATTTGACTCTTTGGAGCAAAAATTGCACCCAAAATCTTAGGGACCAGGGCTTGCGATTTGACTCTTCGGAGCAAAAACTGGGCCCAAGATCTTAGGGACCAGGGCTTGCGATGTCACTCTTTGGAGCAACAATGAATGCAAAATCTTAGGGACCAGGGCTTGCGATTTGACTCTTTGGAGCAAAAACTGGGCCCAAGATCTTAGGGACCAGGGCTTGCGATGTCACTCTTTGGAGCAAAAAATGAACCCAAAATCTTAGGGACCAGGGCTTGCGATTTGACTCTTTGGCGCAAAAACTGGGCCCCAAATCTTAGGGACCAGGGCTTGCGATGTCACTCTTTGGAGCAAAAAACGAACCCAAAATCTTAAGGACCAGGGCTTGCGATGTCACTCTTTGGAGCAAAAATTGAACCCAAAATCTTAGGGACCAGGACTTGCGATGTCACTCTCTGGAGCAAAAACTGGGCCCCAAATTTTAGGGACCATTGCTTGCGAT